AGTCATAGGAGTCGTCCCACCACGTCTCCGTCATGCCAATAAGGTCGTAGCCCTGCTCATGTGCACGCATCTCCAGCTCATCCTGTTTATTTCCCATGCTGCGTGCGTTGGTGTACATACACTTCAGCTGGGCCTCCGACAAAGCCGACTCGCTGGCTGGAGCGACAGGGGTTCTCTTGGACGGCAGTGTAAGTTCGTTCGAACATACCTGCGATCCTTCCTCAGCCTCTGGACCCTTGGTGCTGGCACTGGTGCCAGCAACACTGATGCTTGAGGGAAAGGCTAAAGGGGATCATCTTTCCACGTGAAAATACAAGAAATCACAAAACCTCAGAACTGCTACAAACCAAGCCTGCCTGAGAAATTATTTTTAGAATTATTTTTAACATGTGGATCTGAAAGATGTGAAAGTACAAGCATGAATCAGGTACAGCTGATGGCCTCTGATCCAGTTTCCCTAAATGACTCTCATTTTAATTGTCTCACAAAATTGCCATGTTTCTAGCTTTTCCAAACTGTATTTTTCAATAGGAGAGCGTATGATATTATTTGATATAGATAAGATTTAAACTGAAACCACAACAGTCGTTAGTGATTTAGAGCTTCTAACAAGGAATGTTCACAAACATTAGCTAAAAGCAGCGTTCTCTGAATCCCCATAATGTTAACAGCCTGCCAGATTTTAAACTGCCTGAAAAGAGCATCTCTACTACATTTGTTTCGCTAACGGCAGAAATACAAGTGATAATTAGGTGCAATAAAAATCAAAACAGAACACAATTTTTTCTTAGGGTTAACTTAAATACAGTGCTACGTGCAGAATTATGGCAACTTGCAGGCATAGACTTTTGTAATTTATCAACAAATATATCTAAAATATTAACAATATATATGCAATAATACCAATTACTGAAATTTCAGTCTGCTAATTGGAAAATTTGACAAAGACTTGGAAAACAGAGTATGTTGACATGTTTAGCTAGCTTTTAAAAGCTTCTCAAAGCACGCAGAAGTTTATCTACATGCTTTGTTAAACTCGCTCAGCTTAAGAGCTGTTAAAAACATGAAGCCTACTTTGAGTTTAAATGGGAAATTTAAATTTTCATTTCCAATTTAGATGTAAAAGCTTGGATGTGAGGCTAAAACCCACCCTTAACAAAGTCTTGAAGCACATTGTAACAGGAAGCAATCAGATGTGCCACTTATAGATAATTTTGCTTTTTTAGTAGTGTAAACGCAAGATGCACTCTTAAAGAAAAGTTGTATGTAATCAAGATCTTTTAATACAAATTCCAAAATGCCTGTTTCGTATGCTGATGTTCTACCTTCCAACTTGCCAGAAAGAAAACCTAATTATTCAACCACTTTGTAATGTCATAAAAAAAATTGAGAGCTTGAAACACGCAGCCCCCCTGCAACACAGTGGATCAGCATCATGCGGCAACAGCAGACACAGCTGCCCAGCATTCCCACCTCCCACATTCACACCAGAGCCTTGGCAATGCCTGCACTGCACCATCCCAAATCATTTCAGCTGTGCAGATACTCTAATTCTCACATTTCTCAACTCTGAGACTGCAGTTACGCGTGTTGTCTTTCAGTGTATTTTTTTCCCCTATGACTGGTAGCTGACTTTTTCCCCCATAAATCAAATAAAGAACAGGAATCCCATCATGTGGCTTCACACTGCGGTCCATATGATTATGGCCAAGTTGGTGAGCTGCGGGCCACAGAATAACTAATTTAATCACTAGGCAATTATTCTTTGCACAGAGCAGCACAAACACAGTAAATTACGTGCATACACACATGGGTGCACTCCCACTCCCAGCAATCATAGAATCATGGAATGGTTTGGGTTGGAAGGGACCTCAAAGATCATCTAGTCCCAACACCCCTGCCATGGGCAGGGAAACCCTCCACTACACCAGGTTGCCCAAAGCCTCATCCAACCTGGCTTTGAACACTTCCAGGAATGGGGCATCTACAACTTCTCTGGGCAACCTGTTCCAGTGGGCCATCTTGAGGAATGTCTGTCCAGCCACAGAACTTCTGCCTTATCCCTCTCCTCCTCCAGTAAAATTTTCTCAGTCTGTAACAACTCTTTCCATACCATTTGGCTCCTGCCCAAGCTCTTCTCTAAAACTAAAACTTTGACCCTTGGTATCCTGATCCTAATAGCCTCCATTATTTACAGCTAGGGCCCAGGCCACCTCTCCCATTTCAAAACTTCCCTCTTCACTGAAGCATCCTAAACCACCTACGTCTAATTCTGCTCCTCTTCCACCTTGGTTCCTTATCCATGGTCTCTTGGATTCTAATTCCCCTTCACCTGCTGCATTCTGATTCTCACTCTCCTTGCTTATCTCCTTGTGTCAACTGTTTCCAGTTACATAGCGCCACTCAGTCCTTTCCTGTGTCTCTTTTCATTCTCCTAACATCTCAGTCCTTCTCTTGGTCTATTATTTTACAAGCTTCATCTCCTACACATGCTAACTGTTCATCTTCTCCATGTGGATTCCCCACAGCAGCTGAAAGGCATCAGGAGTACATGAAGCAGGCTCCCTGTACAGTGCTGCTGCCCAATTCTGCCTGTACTAAGAAGGCTGAGACCTGCAACTCCAAAAGGTAGCCTGAGGTTGCCCTCCAGTTCTGGAGGGCATCACACGGTCTCTGCAGAACCTGTACATTCACAAGCCAGCCAAAAATAGTAGCCCCAAGGGGACTGACATATGCCTAATCTAGTCACTGCTGGGAGTTAGGAGCATTTCTAGAACAACAAATATTCTTAAAGAGGAATGTGAATATGTGCCCACTGTGTTTTTTCAGAAGCTCAGTCTTGACAAAACTGACGACTATTTTTGCAGACACAGATTACTGTCATAAAGACTGTTCCTTGTTAAAGTCCTGATGCCTGTTCTAAAAGTAACAGTGCAATGAGTGCTCTTGAAGAAAAGGTCAGGAGAACTATTTTTAAACACTATAGAACTTCAAGCTTCCTTCTCAAATGTTTTTGGAGGGACGGTTTCCAACACTATTTACTTTGGTTAAACTTAATTTTCTACATAAATATATTAAACATATGCATTATTAAAACACAAGCAAAGTAAAGTCTAACTGACAGATTTACATATTTAGTATCTTAACAGTTAAAACAGTAATAGAGCTTTACATTTTACCTTCTATACAAATAAATTTGTTTCTCCATTCAGTACCATCAGGTCTTGGAACAGCTTTGGCCTCACGAACTGAAATCATCTGATGGCTCCAACTAGGGAAAAGGAAAATAATTTGCAGAACTTTTAACTCTTGATTCTAAAATAATATCAGTTTACATTAAAAAATTGTCAAATTGATATGTCATAACCCTGGATAACACAGTACTTTATATAAATAATTTAGTGTAATAGTCCAATCTTCGTAATTCATTATATAAGAGTAATGAATAAAGAAAAGGAAACAAGAAAAATTTTCCACAAACAGAAGTGTATTTTATGAAAACGTGCAAAACAGATCATCACAGGTATGCATGAGTAACATATATTCATGACAGAACAATTTTTTCAAAAAACAATGTCAACTTGAATATGGACACCTACATTTATTTCTAAGTTCAAAAGAAATTATAGCCTCAAATCTAGCTTTTGGAATTTTCTGTGAGGTGAAAAGGAATGTTAGGGGTTTAAGTGCAGATGAAGTCACATACTGCATTCCACCAAAAGAATATTCAACAGTATAAAGATATATAAAGATAGCTTGCTTACAGACCAGCATTCCTGGTGGAAGGAACCTATTATTAGAACACACTAACACTCTATATGCTGAATTTCAGATTTCCTACAAGTGTAGGTACCCTTGGTACCAACAGAGCAACAATTCAAATGAACATTTGAAGATATTCTACCACCTTCTGCACATGCTTTTACAACAACAAAACCACAGGAAATGATCACACTGAAACAAGAACAGCAGGCAGTTTACAGGGCTATCTTTACAATGTGCCAAACATCTTTTTGATCTTTATGATGCTTGGCACAACAATGTGCCAAACGTTAACGGAAGCCAAAGCAACCACTTGCAGTTTTATGTTCTTACCTACCCAGCCAGTTTTCAGCTGCTCTTAACTAAACCAGTGAACTACCATATCAGTGAAATGCCTGGATCATCAACAATGCATCACCATATGCCCTGACTACATAAGGCTTGGAAACAGCTGGGTAGGGTGCTGCCAGCTGTACTGGTGTGTTATGTGCACCTGACGTGATCTCCTAACTGAATCAATCTTTTGACATGATGCAAAGAGAGAGAAGCTTGGCTGGGTGCATCAACCACCTGCGGTAAATCTGTAAATATCAACTGTAAATCAAAATACAGGCTCTGTGCTCCCTAGGCCACAGATCAGCTGTCATAACTCCATTCAGTCAGTGGTGATAAGACAGTTTACATCAGCTATAAATCCATGCCTGTAATTCTACAAATTATCTTGGATACAATTCATGATTAAAACCACTTAGGAAAGTGAGCTGTTCGAATAACTGTACTTCCATAGAACACATACCATATTCTTCTATTTAAGAATATGAACAGGACACAGCACATGAAGCATAGTTTAGGACACCTCAGATTACTTATTCACCCACTGCTGTGTGTATTTAGATTTCTCTCAATATGTTCTTCAGAAAATTAGTACAGGTGATTATGGTTGCTAGAATTCCATGCAAACTACAGCTTGCATTCTAACCCATCATTCTCCCTCTCCTTCATTCCCACAGTAGACTACTTTCGCAAAAATTAGAGATATTGGGAAGCACCAAATACTGTCCTATCATGTCTTTTAAATGAACTACCATCAACACAAGCTTAACAAGAAATTTAGACGAATTGCTCAAAAAAACAAACACAAAAAAAGACAAAAGAGAAAAAGCATGTGACTACAGCATCAGCATTCACTCCCATGAACGGATTTATGTCCTGACAGGAACAATTGGGCAAAATACCCAAATAGCATTTAGGAAAATCACTGCGTCAACATATGAAAAAGCTTCCCAAATTATGGTTTATGGTAACTATTGAAAACGGAATGGAAAAAATTTAACTCAAACATCACAATTGAATCTTGTGTCACCAAAGACTGGAAATGTGATAAACACGAATCCACCATAATTTGTTGTCGCAAATGGCATGACAACAGCAGCACATTAGACCTACAGTAAACGTTGAAGTCACCAAATCTTGTATTAGTGAACAAGGGAACTATTGGCATAATTTTACCTTGATTAAACCTGTTTATGTGATATGTCAATGGCAGCAACGTGGTCACTGGGTCTAACATTTAAATTCAAAATGGAGGCTGTGGTTAGACCCTTAACGTTCATTGCCGTGATCACCTATCATGGTACGGACACCCCAATCACCTTAAATAATAAAAATGGAGTCATACCCTTTTTCACTGTGGCACATGGTGATGACATTACTGTATGATGCAGGTTGACTAATGGGTCCTTTATTAAACCTACAATTAGTTATGGAATAGGACTCCAAGGTCCTATCATATTATGCAAGGACCAAAAATGAGACTGTTGGTTAAATATGACCTCTGTAAAAAATCCTTATAGGGTCATATGTAACACAACCCACTCAAAACATTGGGGAAAATTGAGAATAAATGTTACAACACCTGGTACCAAACCACCCATAGAAACCAATCGAAAAATTTTGGACATTGGACCATATGTAATTAGAAACATAGACCAGAAACAAATGCTGTTTAACCCGTCATGGTCTCTCAAACGAGTTGAACTGTTAATGCAAAATAACGTTTCAGGAGTCCAGCCAGCCTGCTCATCATTTCTGTAAACCTCTTACAAATGATGGACAACCTGGCTGCTGAAACGAACTCTAGGGTGAACAAAAAGGGACCTAACTGGCATCCTGGGAACGGGATTGGGAATTCTAAAGAGCATGGATTCTGAAGTATTGATGAACAAACTAATCGCCACAACCAGTGAGTTGAAACAACTGGAGCATCCTTTACAATCTTCCCTATTGGCTTTGGGAACTAATCAATGGCTTTTAACAGGTATATTACCAAAATGGGAAAAGATGAATGAAAAAGATCAGGAACTGATCGTAGATGCAATTGGTGCAGTCCAAAATAATGTTTCCCTAGCTCTTAGCTGTATCCAAGCACAACTATGGATGCAATCAATAACCACTTCAATTATAAGGAAAGGTGAAGAAGACACCTTACCCACTGAAATTAGAGAAGTGATTTAGGGTAATGCAACTGACTTCGAAAAGAAATTCCAAACCTGGTGGTACTTAGTAAATTTTACTAATGATTCCACCACCAGCACAGCCACAGCTTTTGTGCTAACCATATACAATGCTTCAGTATTCACAATATACCCCATCATTGCATTAGGATTGAATCACAAGGGAACTATACTCTATCCTCTGGAGCACAGAGTATGGGCCCAAAAAAATGAAAATAAATGGCAAACCATTGATGTTGATTAACGCATTGTGCGAGAACAACAAGGATTCATTTGTGAAGGTAACACCATCCAGGCTCAAGACACCTGTCGCGACACTGACCAAAATGTTTGTCATTTTGAAATTCGTCCTAACAACGCTGAAACACTACTTGTATATATTGGCAAAGGTTGTGTATGTCTAAGAAGTCTTTGTGATTCCTTATCTGTTGACAATGTCGTTCTAGATGCAAAAGCTATTCAAATTTCTGTGTGTGTAATTTTGGTAAAACTGTAGGATGTGATTTTACTTATTTAGCACCTATCACATCTTCTCAACTGCTGCAATCAAATTACACTCTGACTCAAGAACTATCACCAGCACCTATCAGAATGAACCTTATTTAAATGAAGAAACTACTACAACATCAGGATTTGAGGAAACTGCTGAGATGAGTTCAGGACAATGGGAAAAAGACTCTGATTACCATACATCATGATACTGACGAAATATACCGTGTCCTAGAACAAGTGAAAAAAGATGCAGAACACCAAAGGAGGGACACTGATCAGTTCTAGTTTACGTTGTTCTAAATTAAATCTATTTTTGCAGTCAGTCCCTACCACCGGCTATCTTTGAATCTGTATCCTGTCACAAGCATCTGTAATAAAATATGTCATTTTAATGTAAGTTTCCGGAAACTTTATAATTGATGTAATATAAAGGAGGATGACCCATTGTGCTGTCAGCAGGGTCCCTGAATAGGTTAGGCAAACACCCTCCAACTTAGCGGGCTGCCCAGAGGGGCAGGTGGGTTGGATACAAGGGTCTTGTCTTTCTTGGGAAACCAGTAAGACTGATGGAATTGTCCCTAACGTTTATTGATCTGACCTCTAGTGGTCTGACTTGGTGTTATTTCGTGACACATACGATAACTTTGTTATTGCCAACACAAAGCAAATATTCTCTACATACACACTTTCAATCCCTAAGTTAACAATAACCAATTAAACAGTTGTTTGAATTATCAGTTATTTCTGGTGTAACTGCCCACATTAGGTATGTGCTTCTCATAGAGAAGGCAAGAATTTTAAAGAGAAGGACCAAGCACTTCCAGTTGTGTGTATGAATACACTACAAATAGATTAAAAAGCTTATCTTTTCCAGAGCATTCTTATAAGCCAAAGCCACTTGCAAAAACACACTAAAATGGGTACAAATTACAAGCATATTTAATTCAATATACTATTAAAAAATTATCCCTTTATTATCTGACCAATTCATAGAATCATAGAATGGTTAGGGCTGGAAGGGACCTTCAATGGTCATCTAGTCCAACCCCCCTGCAAGGAACAGGGATATCTCCAACTAGATCAGGTTGCTCAGGGCCTCGTCCAACGTGGCCTTGAATGTCTCCAGGGATGGAGCGTCCACCACCTCTCTGGGCAACCTGTTCCAGTGTTCTACAACTCTCATGGTAAAAAAATTTTTCCTAATATCCAATCTGAATCTACCTCCCTCTATTTCCACCCTGGTGTAATTCCACCCTGAATTGAGCCATAAGCAACTGTATTTGTAACCAATCTTTTATCACATCCATCAAATACAACTTAACCAGTGAATGATCTTAAACAACTGCTACATGACTTCAAACAATACATTTAAGAGAAGTACAGTCCCAAAGGACAATCTCTAGGCTCTCTAGCAGTAACTTTAGGGGAGCAAGGCCTTGCTTCAAGGTCTCACTTGTAAAGAGACAGCCAAGTGAAAACCTGCTGCTTTCACTCACAGCTGCAGAAATGAAATCAGACACTCTCTCCAGAAGGCCTGGTAAACACGGACCAGTTTCCAAATACTTTCTTTTGAGAACACCTCCATGCATTTTTCACTTGGTCACATTCACTGCGTGATCAGCGGACCTTTGGTAGTTGGAAATACTATAAAAACTTTGACAATTTGAAGTGGAGTTATGGGCATACTTTTACCCAGATGTATCATGCAAAACATCACGCAGACTTGTACTCTTATGGTAATCTAATTATACAACCACGTCAGCAAACTGAGCTTTGCCATATGTAGTGTGTAAGTCCAATATATGCAGCAATTTCCAAATCACATTTTTGGTAACTTATGAAATGGGATAAAGATTAACTTCTTATGGACACACCAAAAAATCACAGAGTAGGACTGTGGAATGTGTACTGTATAAATACATGGTAATCAGCAATTTTCTGAAAGAGTTTATAGTCTAAATAAACAAAGCAGATTAAAAGCATAAAGGAAAGCAGATTAAAAACGTAAGGGAAAAAAACCCAGCACAAGGAGAAAAACTTATTCCTGGCTGCACAGCATGCTAGATTCCTGTTTCTCCCTTTCATAGAATCATAGAATGGCATAGGCTGGGAGGGACCTTAGAGATCATCTAATCCAACCTCCCTGTCATGGGCAGGGACGCCTCTCAACTAGATCAGGCTACTCAAGGCTCCGTCCAACCTGGCCTTGAACACCTCCAGGGAGGGGGCATCCACAACTTCTCTGGGCAATTTATTCCAAAGTCTCATGACCCTCATACTGAAGAATTTCTTCCTAAGATCTAATTTAAATCTGCTCTCCTTCAACTTAAACCCATTTCCCCTTGTCCTATCAGTGGACGCTCTTTTAAAAAGTCCCTCCCCAGCCTTCCTGTAGGTTCCCTTCAGGTATTGGAAGGCAGCTATTAGGTCCCCCCAAAGTCTTTGCTTTTCAAGGCTAAACAATCTCAGCTCCTGCAACCTGTCCACGTAGCAGAGGTGTCACTTCTGTTTCTTCCTTTGTGCCCTACTCTTCGGATCCATCCTTCCTTTAAATATTATTCATTACATCAAGTAAAATAAAACATAGATTTTAACTGGAATACCTACTGGCCTTTGCTAGACTGAGGGGGAAGTTTAAAACAATCCATCTTCCCTTCATCTACCTGATCAATACATGTAAAACAGTTGATCAGTTATGCATTCCAGGCAGGTGGCATCAATGACTTATTCTGTCCAAAATTATGATCTCCACACATGATCTGATCATTTTTGACTGCATGCTGTTCATTTGAAAGATCTCTGGCACAGTACAGGACATTTAAATGTGACCAAACTTAATAGTCACAGTATCTGAAATATATCTCAAAATTTTTGTGCACAAAAACACTAGTAAATGTTTTACAGGGAAAGCAAACACTGAAAAAAATACTGATTACAGCAAGGAGAATATTCAACACATTCAGGAGTAAAACACTAGTTCTTCCATGAAAGGCAGAACTAACAGAGCCCTGTTGTGTGTATTTAACTCTTATCCTCATTACCACCTATAGTGTTGTTTCCATCAGCATCTCAAAATTAAAGATAACAGACAGTGTGGATAGCGTGACACTGTGCTTGTTCTCATCGGCTGGCTATCACACACACAGACAGATGTTTAAACACTGTGTTATACCACCTTTTCCCCAGCCTGGGCACTAATTTGGGTTTCTCCTCTCTAGGGATTTTTTTACAACCCAGACAATTACTAGGTTTTATGAAACTATATGGAATTTTAGTATATTCAAGACGCACACCTTGCTTCTTTCAAACAGGATTTATAGTTGTCAGGGATACACAGATGGTCAAGTAAACAGTACACTTGACTAAGTTTTACTTCTGTACCAGAAAGAGTTAAAAATAATATAGATTGTTGCATTAGGTGTGTCACTTCTTGACATGACTTCTCAGCTATGTAACATTTCCAACACAGGAGTTCTAACAGCTGTTTTTACAGGGGTTTTTTTTGGTGTCTATTTATTTATTTATGATTTTTTTTAAACAGAGTATCACTAGTCAAATGTTTAAATACTTAACAGGTACTTAACATGGGAAAAACAGTCCGGATATTCTTTTTTGTTTGGACAGTTGTTTTTTAAAAAATGTTTTCTTCCCTTGACATCAGCAACTATCCTATCTTCATTGGCCACTTTTCCAAGCTTTGCTTTAACCAGAAGCTCCTCTGTGCCTCTGTGATTAAATTTAGGCAACATTTTTTCCTCACTTATGAACATAATGGAAAATAATATTCAGGGATTACCATCAGTTCAAATACTGATACTGCAGCACTGTTAGTCTTCATACTTCTTGTGTATCCTGCATGTCTACCAGAAGGAAAAAAACAGTCTTCCTGGATCAGCTACTAACTTAATGCAGAAATCTGCTCTTGACTATATTCATTAAGCACTCAAACCAGAAAACTGAAATTACTTTTGTCAAGGTATTTTTCCTGCATTTGGACAAGATCTTCTCTGCTAGCTTGCACGGACAAACCGGCAACAACTTATTTAGTGGAAAAGATATTATATGAGAAGATTAACAGCTTGTTATATAGACAAGTAGTAAATGATACATCTAGTGTCACAAATAAATTAGGAATTTGAGGATATCCTCGAGCAATGTCTTTCAATTTAATTGTTTAGCGAACAGCACCTTGCCAGCTGAAAAGACAGGTACTCAGAAGAAAATTTTAGGACAGAAGACCATTCTCTTGTATGCAGAGACCATTGAAGGAAAATCCTTCATGTGAAAATCTCTCGGATTCATGCTTAAGCACAAAGTACAACCCATGTAAGTTCATGAATTGCCACAGGCCATAAGGATTTAGCTTACATATTCCACATGTAAGGCACACCTCAAGAGATGTTTTCTTACAAGGATTTAATGACTGTTCACTTCTTACACTGAAGGAAAAGATGAACACTTCAAAAATTATAATGAGTATCCAGTAGTTATACATTTTGTTCTCATTCCAGGAAATGCATATGATGCGCATACCCATGACACATGTATGAAACAACCGCTTCAGAAACAAGTTCTTTAGAAGATCTTTAAGCTTATTGAAATACAATTATTTGATGTTTTATACAGACAAGCACTAAGAAATTCTCATGTGACAATTTGGCAAAATGTTTATAATCTACAGGTTTCTCAGACACCTGCACAACTTTAGCCTCTCCTCTTCTACAGGAAAGTCTAGATGCCAAAATTAAACTCAGAGTCTAGCAAACCAACAAGGATAGTGAACCAACTACATATGGGAGAATTCTTCACGAGGTGCGGCCTATATTGGTATATATTATAGTCAAAGTAAGAAGCCACCTGGTCAGTTACCTCCATTGACTCGGGGTGACGGAAGACAAGAGCAGCTATTAAGGTCCAAATAATCCGTATCGCAATCAATACCCCAAACTACAACTAAGAAGAGATTTTTTTCTCACACACGGATATGCGGTTTTAGAATAGTGTAGTGTAACAAAACCCAGTTATTTTCAAAGGACAAAGCTTTAACTTCTGGCAGCTATTTTACAGGATAGGATGCTTGGCAAAGCAAAAGATGTCAGCCACTCTTTATCAGCATTCCTGTTGTCCTTTAGTCTTTTCACCCATTTTCTCTCTGCCAGTTTCCACTCCTGCATTACTGCTATTCTTCCTCTTCAAAGATTATAAAGTATTATATACTGGTTATAGGATTATAAAGTATATATTGAATAGAAGGCATTAAAGTTTTGCATATTCTAAAACACTAAGATGAGCTTATTACTTACTCAAATTCTGTAGCATAATACTTGAAGAAGCCTATTAGCAAATCTCCAAGGCTTGATTCATTTTTTGAGTTGTAAGGAGGAATGGTACGTGGAGCTCGACAAACCTGATCCAAATGCATAGTAGTATCAAAAGATTCCTGTCAAAATAAAATCAGAGTATGTATATACACACACACACAGAGCCTTAAACTAGGTGCATCTATTTTTCACAATTAAAAACTCACTATCATTTGCTTATTAGAAGTTCAAGGACGACTCTTAAGCAAAGGACTCTATTTCTTTTGTGCTCCTCTGTTGGATACTAGTTATTGCCCCTGGACTCAGATAGAATTACCTTGCACAGGAGCATCCAAGAATGTCCCTTGCCTTCTGTTTGCTAGAGAATTTTAACACACAACAATCTCTGAACTGGACTTGTGTTTTACATGCTAGTAAAACCACATGAGCAGAAGCTGAGTAAGGTATCCTGCACTGAGCTCGCTGCAGTTGGACTGAGACAGGGTAGGTGAAGCTAACGCACTTATCGCCAAGTTTCCATAACTGTGGTACAGAAACAATCCAAAAGGAAGGCCTGAATTCTTTTTCCCACAGCATAGCGTTAAAATTGCATATAAAACCCACTGGCTCTAATATGAACCTGCATCCTCCCACATAATGAGTTCAAAGACTGCAGCGGCACCTACTCTAGCCAACCTATCTGAAAGAATAATTAAAAAAAAAAAGTTATACAAAAAACCTGAATACACAGAATGCAGCCTTTAAGCTGAAGTATGGTTTTCTTCGGCAGCGGGGTAAGTCAGGTTTGCTATAAACAAAAGTCACTATTGCCAGCTTAAAAAGGAATCTACACAAGACTAAATTAACATGGTTTTAGATCTGCTATACTGTTTGGGTGCCCGTCGCATCCTTTAGGTTCTTCTGAGACATTGGTGTACACAGAGGAGAACACACCTTCTCTTGCTAGAGAAATAGTTTTTAAAATCTGGTAATATCAGGATACTACATTTTACAGCAATGTTGCTATTTTAAGGAAAATGAACCCCAGATACACAACAGCAAGCTTTACATTCACATAAAGAAATACATTTACGTAAATTTAGGAACCTATTCAGTCATTACTGTATCTCCTCTCCCACTCCTTTGTTATTTCAAAGAGCAGTATCAGGCATGACTCAAACTTTATAGTACTAGAATATCACTGGAAGCACTATACACTGTAATAGTATTTCCATGTTCACAGCTGGTAGTGCTTCCTCTGAAAAAAGTATGGTTAGTGATCACACCATTAGGGCTGGAAAGTTTGGACTCCTGTCCTCTTTTGCCAAGTCTAGCAAAACTTCCTGGAACTTTGTGCAACACCTTCTGGGAAAAAAGGCCATTCTTCCAGCTACAAAAAAATTAAAGTCTTGCTCTCACATGATGTCACTTTGCATGTAAAACATTATTACAGTTATCAGAGGTCAAAATTCAACAGCTTACAATCCAGCAGAACACATCAAAACCATGGAGACAGACAGACAGACACAAAAAGCAGACATGCCGCATGTAAAGATCTAAAAGGGGAACAGCTGTTCCTATGTTATACAGTACATACAGTTTTAATCCCAAAGGTAATCAGACAGGTACTACATGAAAGTCACTCCTTGCCCATTCCCACAGAAAGTTGTAGAGGAGTCTCAACAAACAAATTTAGAATTAGCAATGTAACAACTCATGAGGAAATGGATACAGAGAGGGAAAAAAGGGACAAGAACAAGGGCTGCTGACCTCCAAACAATACAAAACAGAAATGCAGTAAAATTAGTACAACGGTGTCTACTAAGACCAACGAGTAAATGTTTGGAGGCAGCACACATTTTTGAAAAGGAGAACAAGATTATTAATTTTTTTTAATGCTTTGAATGTTCAAATGCCTGAGAACTTCTCAACTGAAAGAAAAATCTGCCACCACAGTGAGGGTGGCATACAGAGTAGCTAAAAAGTTAGACTTTGGGATATTATTTTTCAGAATAATACATCAGCTATTTTCTTTAGCATTATTACAGGCTTAGAGAGCATGTTGTTTTTTCTTATCAATCCTGACTATTGTATTTGCATTTTATATATTTATCACAATTAATTAATTTTATTAGTGTTTGTACAGCATTTGAATAAGAAAAAATAAATCAACAATTATATTAATAGCAAAAGACAATATATAAAAATAGTTGTATCAAAACTTACAGCAAAAAAGAGTACATGTATGCCTCTGTGTGTATGCTTACATCCAGAAAAATACCAAATACAACTTGATCCAAAGATATATTTTCAGTAAGATTTGTTAGCAATTAATTAAAGTTACAAAATCTTGCAGTTTTAAAATCACAAATCTGTATTTTGAAAAGGGTGATGACAGAAGCATAGTCCAGAAGAAGGCATTTTTCAGGACATTTAGTTTGTCTGTTTCTTCACTGAGTTTGTATCTGATCAAAAGTCATGTAAGCAGCAGTGATAAAACTGAAAGTCTCCTCATTTGAGGAGCAGGTAATGTACCACATTAGAAAGATCCCACCCATGGTAGAAGAGATAAAATTCCTAACTTGCATTCGAAGGCAGTTTTCTAAATCTTCATCTAGTACATAAAACTCTTCAATTTTGCAATCTAAAATGATTACGTTTATTAATTTTGTTTCAAAAGCAAGTTTGATTTCATGACACCTGCAGATCCAAATTTTACTATGTATATTAAATACAACCACCTCATGAAGGTCAGGCAAATCGAAGTTCTCCTTACTCATAAAGGCATTTGCCTTCAAAAACTGAACAAATATTATTCTATACAAGTGCTCTAGTAAAGATGTAAGTTACAGTCTATAGTAATGTCATGGTTTAGCCCAGCCAGCAGCTAAGCTACCTTGTGGCCACCTGCTCACTCCTTGCCCATTGGTGGAATGGGGAAGAGGATCTCAAGAAAAAAGGTAAAACTTGTGGGCTGGGGATAAGGACAGTTTAATAAGACAGCACAGAGAGAGAAGAATAATCATAGAATCATAGAACGGTTTGGGTTGGAAGAGACCTCAAAGATCATCTAGTTCCAACCCCCTGCCATGGGCAGGGAAACTCTCCACTACACCAGGTTGCCCTGGCCTTGAATACTTCCAGGGATGAGGCATCCACAACTCCTCTGGGCAACCTGTTCCAGTGCCTCATCATCCTCAATGTAAAAAATTTCTTCCTTAGATCTAATCTAAATCTCCCCTCTTTCAGTTTAAAGCCATTGCCCCTTGTCCTATCACTACACGCCCTTGGAAAAGTCTCTCTCCAGCTTTCCTGTAGGTCTCCTTCAGGTACTGAAGATCACCTCGGAGCCTTCTCTTCTCCAGGCTGAACAGCCACAACTCCCTCAGTCTGTCTTCATAGCAGAGGTGTTCCAGCCCTCGGATCATCTTCGTGGCCCTCCTCTGGACCCGCTCCAGCAGCTCCATGCCCTTCTTGCATTGGGGACTCCAGAGCTGAATGCAGTATTTCAGGTGAGGTCTCACGAGAGCAGAGTAGAGGGGGAGAATCACCTCCCTCGACCTGCTGGCCACACTTCTCTGAATGCAGCCCAGGATACGGTTGGCTTTCTGGGCTGCCAGTGCACATTGCTGGCTCATGTTGAGCTTCTCATGCATCAACACCCTCAAGTCCTTCTCCTCGGGGCTGTTCTTGATCCATTCTCTGCTCAGCCTGTAATTGTGCTTGGGATTGCACCAACGCATCTGCAGGATCTTGCACTTGGTCTTGTTGAACTTCATGAGATTTGCACAGGCCCACCACTCCAGCCTGTCAAGGTCCAGCGGGATGGTATCATCCCTCTGGATGGTAGTCAGGTCTCCCACTTCCTTCAGGAGAGGATCCATGTTTTCTCTAGTTCTCCTTTTATCACTGACACACCTATAGAAGTTTTTCTTGTTGCCCTTGATGTCTCTGGCCAGATTTAAATCTATCAGGGCTTTAGCTTTCCTAACCTGATCCCTGGTTTCTCGGACAATTTCTCCATATTGTTCCCAGGCTATCTGTCCTTGTTTCCACCCTCTGTAGGCTTCCTTTTTGTGTTTGAGTTGGTCCAGGAGCTCCTTGTTCATTCATGCACGCCCACTGGTGTTCCTACCTGACTTCCTTTTTGTTGGGATGCATCACTCCTGAGCTTGGAGGAGGTGATCCTTGAATATTAACCAGCTTTCTTGGGCCCCTCTTCCCTCCAGGGCTTCATCCCATTGTACCCTACCAAGCAGATCCCTGAAGAGGCTTAAGTCTGCTCTCCTGAAATTTAGGGTAGTGAGCTTGCTGAGCACCCTCTTTGCCTCTCTAAGAATCTTGAACTCCACCATTTCATGGTCAATGCAGCCTAGGCTGCCCTTGAACGTCACGCTCCCCACCAGTCGATCCTCGTTGGTGAGAACAGGGTCCAGCATAGCCCCTCTCCTCATTGGTTTCTCTATCACTTGGAGAAGGAAGGTATCATCAATACATTCCAGGAACCTCCTGGATTGCCTATGCCCTGCTGTGTTGTCCCTCCACAGCACACAGCTGTATACATAACAGCAATGCTACTAATAAAAGAACAATACAAAACAAGCTATGCAATTGCTCACCACCAGGAACCCAATGCCCCTCCCCCAGCAAGCTTCCCCAACATATATACTGAGTAGAGCTTCATATGGTATCAAATGTCCACTTGAATAGTTTGGGTCAGCTGTCCTGGCTGTGTCCCCTCCCAGCTTCCAGTGAAAATTAACTCTATCCCAGCTGAAGCCAGCACAAGCAGCTAGGACAAGGGGCAATGGCTTTATACTGAAAAAGGGGAGATTTCAATGAGATGTAAGGAAGAAATTCTTCCCTCTGAGGGTGGTGAGGCACTGGAACAGGTTGCCCAGAGAAGTTGTTGATGGCCCATCCCTGGGTGTTCAAGGCCAGGCTGGATGGGGCTTTGAGCAACCTGATCTAGTGGATGGTATCCCTGCCCGTGAAACGGGGGTTGGGACTGGATGATCTTTAAGGTCCCTTCCAACCCAAACCATTCTATGATTTAAAAACCCAGTTTAAGAGACACATGTATAAATAATTCCCATCTCCACTTGTTTTAGTGGTTATACCACTATGAAAATGTCTCTTA